CTCGCGGCAATGTGCACAGACACGAACAGGGGCCACATCTTGTCGCATAGTAGGGCGCTTGTAAGCTGCCGCTCTCAATCAAGAAACTGACCCCACCAGTCAACGTGTCCTACAAAAAAACAACACACACTGGACATGCCCTACTAACATGCCACAAACTCGTACCCTTGTCTCAATCGCCTTCCACGCACACCCAGCTGCCTCCTTTCCCCACGCTACCGTTCACTGCGAATAATGTAGATTAGCCGTCCATCGGAAACAGTATCGTAGTCGTCCACTGGCTTTGAACGAGTTTAGGGTGAGAACCGGAGCGCCAACCGCGGGATCGCCTATACCCCTGCTAATTGATTGACACGTCAGCTCAATACGTATTGCGTGTATACTATACCTCGAAATGACTTTGTGATGCTAACGAGGAGTGGTCATAACGAATGGCGCAGACTTTTGTTTTAATAAGGCAGTAACACCAACACTTAGTGCACGTAAAAAAAACAAATGTTACGGAATGACATGCAGAAACAAAATTTCCTAAAATGCAGATGCTACAGTGTATCAGGCGCGTGAAAAACACAATAAATAAGGATTTTTGTTCAAAGTGCATAATGCATACAGATAATCTACACCTTATCTACATATCCCGCTACCATACAAGATCACTAAACTACCGTAAAAACACTGGCTGCTCCTCATCCTCATCATAATTCTACTCCTGCAAATCAATGTTTCTCGTCATATCCAGACCCTCATCACTGTACTCGTCTGCCGCCAGCTCATCCTCTAAAATCTCTTTCCAGCCAACAATGCACAGCTTGTCAATCCCGAGGCAGCCGTCCTTTCGAGTGACATCACTGCTGTTGATCCAGCGCTGCAGTAGACGTGCCTGCTAGGCAAGGGCACCAGGATCTCCAGACCGATCCAACTGAGACCTCGTGGCGCTGGGATGGCGGAACTTGTACCTCACCAGCAAGAGAAGCAAACATTCAGTGTGAGATACACATGGTTTAAAAACCAAAGCTTGAAATTGTTTGAGCTTACCGGTGCAAGGATGACAAGCAGCTGAACTGGAAACAAACCCACAGGCATGTCGCCACTCGAATCCCACAGCCTCGAGCACTTCACAAACACAGGGCTGGAAAACGGCTTCCCCTTCTTGTCGACACGCCAGGGGATGCCCAACAACACTGCAAGTGCGACATCAGAGTTGAAATATGCCACGTTTTAAAAAACGTTAACTTCCATTTAACAACTTACGCGATGCGTAGCGCTCCACATAATCTGCACAAAGTTGGGGTAAGTCAAACGACACCACATATACAATCTCGCCCTTAACATTCCGCTATTTCTTCAAAAAAATGCTCGGTTCGTTGCTCGAAGCTTGCAGGTGACAGGATCGGTAAATTTTACCGATCCTGTCATTGAAGCGGACACACGCGTGCTTCAAAAAGCCATTTGACTTCAACAGTAGAGCGAGCTTCAAGCCTTCTGAAGAGGCCACGCTGTGACCGGCTTTCCCTGCACATGTGTTATAATGAGTTAGTCTGAGTACAGCAAGAGATGACATGCCATGTGATATGCACTTACTGATCAAAGCTGCGAGCATCTGTTCAGGCTCGGGTGGCAGGTTCAACGACTTCTGCTTGAAAAGGAAATTGTTGCATGCCTCCTTGATGTGGGCCTGAAGCAAAGAAAAAAAACTGTAAGTGACTGTGCGTTGATGATTTTTGTAAATCAAAAAGTATGGTAGCTTACCCGCCAATTCAGTTTTCCAAGCTGATCTTCAGCGAGCTTCTCGGCCAGATGCTTCAACAGCGCCATCGCATCCTTCAGGTCTGTTTCCCGGCTGTGAAGCTCAGCTTTAAGTTCCTCGACTTGTTTTTCTTGGTCGGCAACCTTGAGTTGAAGCTCATCATTCACCTCGAACTGCTGCCTTCCCTCCTCGCGAAAACGCACAGCCTCAGTGGCATAGGCCTTGCCACACGCGCGGGTCATCGCCGACTCCATCGGGCTATCTCCAGCTTTGCATATTCCAGAAGGAAAATGATTAATGACATGAAGTCGCGGGTGCAGCTTGGTACGAAATACAAACAATGACTCACCCGCAGCATCACCATCTTCATCCGTAGCGACGGCTGCATCAACATTTGCAGCCACAGTCGCTGCGGCACGGGGAGCACGGTCACCAACGCCTTCACGTATACCTCCGCGAGCAGCTTCGGCGGGAGAAGCCTGGGCAGATTTCGCCGCCGCCTGTGGTGCAGCTCCCTTCCCCCCCGCACCCGGTGTTCCAGGGCCTGACACGACACTCAACCTCCGTCAAGCTTGATGTGTCCGTTGTCCGGTATGACAATGGTCGGGCGTAGCAGTGTCGGTTTTATCGTCAGCTTCAACTGTGAACAAAGGAAAAATAGGGATTAATTGACAGGATAATCACTTACAAATTGATAATAAAGTGAACGCGGCGACAACAGAGACTATGTACCCAAGTCGCCGTTGCTGGAGATGTACTTGTGGTTTTCCTTGCTGGCGCGGGAAGACAGTTGTCTAGTCTGCAAATGCATCATAGAGGGAGGGACTAGCCCTTAAGGATTGCCGCGCGCCATCGTTAGTGAGAAACAATATAAGGCTACAAAAACGTGTAGCCAGCTATACGCAAGATGTACCTTTATATACAGACAGGGGCCATGACAATAACGAAAGGAAGCGGAAGCGGTTCGCCAACTTATAAAGAAAGGGTATATAGGAGGAAGTAGCGCACCGCCATTCGCTCGAAGTGCACAGCTACCGAACCACATACAGTGGGGCGTGATTATGTAGGCTCGGCATGGGGCGATAGTGGGTAAGGTCGAACAGGGCGGAGGAAGAGAAGTTCAAAACTCGAAATTTGAATTTCTAAATTGCAGTCACGACGCTCAAGCAGCAGCAACCACGGCTAAGGAGATGAGTGGGAAAGGGAGGGAGGGGAGTGAGTGTGCAAGGGGAAGATGGTTGGGGGATACAGAGGAGGGTACACAGAGTGGATCAGGGGGGAGGTTGGGCTCGTCACGTACGTGGCTTCTTTAAAGCGCACGACAGCGCAGAGAGGATGCAGTGCTGTGTACAGCACTGCACAGTAGCGCACGACAACGAATGTTCTGCTGTACACGGCACTTTGACCACATGGTGTTGCCTCGCTGGAAGGAGCATTGTTTAGCGACACCTGCGCACGACATTGAGGTTGGCAGTGTTTGTCGCCTCGATACAGTGAGCATTAAAAAATGAGGATTTGAGGCGAGGTGTACACCACCACACTAAATCAGTCGCTCAAACCGTTGCTAGTACAGACATACGCCCGTCCCGGGCAAATAATTTGTGGACTGAACTCCCCAAGGCTAGGTTCGTGGCTGCCCCAAAGGCGTCGACAACGCGGAGAGTGCAAGTTGGGTTGTTGATGCCCCGCTAGAGTACTCACTGTGTTACGACAGCTGTGCAATTGAAATTTCGGATCGCAGTGTTTGTCCCCATTGAGACAGTGGGAAGGCAGTTTCTAACAAGTGCTCCTTTTGCATCGCCACAAAGGCAAGCGCATCGATTGAACCACTGCAAGGTGTTCTCTTCACTAAGTGCTGATAGATAGAGAAGATACATAACTACTCTCGGATCATGGAGCTGCTACACCAACAAAGAAACCGTGACCAACCCGAAAAAAATAAATAAATAAATCGTGTTTACTGTTCTTACCTTCCTGGTAGATTACAGATGGAAAAAAAAAAAAAACAACAACAACAAGGTCTGTTGTTGGCCTAGTTGTTCAAGCTGGAATATCTGATGAGCTGTCGCCCGTGCCCCCAACGAAGTTTTTTAGACAGCAGGTATCACGCCGTTCTCCCTATACCGTGCACCATTAATTTCACTAAGTTTTTGTCTCTGACTTAGTTACAATGAGGCATGCCACTTACTAAAATCAGCAATTTCACAATCAGCATATAAATTATAGTATAGTGTACAAGTGCTAGACAACCAGTGATGTACTGCTTTTATATATTAATTATAGAACCTACACCCGAAACACACTACCATCTGAAATGGTTCCACACAAACTTGGCATTGGGATGAGTCGGATCAGCTGTTTTGGGCAGAACATGAATCACACACAGAATGCTCTCTACCAGCACCACCCCGTAACCCCGGCTAGATGGCCACCACTTCAGCATCTTCATGTCAGTAGTTGCAGATTGTGTTGTAGTGGCATAGTAACGACAGAATGCAAGCTCCTCCGAAATTTGCTCCTCGGTAGCGTTGCCGTCATCGCCCACAGTTTGCACTGTCCGCCGAAACGTGAAGATGCAAAATAGTTTGACGCGCCAAACCTGCTTCACATCGTTGTCGTCCTTACCCTCAACGTCGACATCAGAAAACCAGGGCTTCCCGTAGAACATTGGAGTGGCGCGAGCATACTGTGGGTATCTGCTATATCTCGTGAAATCGTCGTCAGGTGGCACAGCGACACCGCCGTGCAGCTCGATCACGTGATGGTAGTGCACCTTCGTACGCCTGTCCGGATGCTCCTGTTGAAGATATCCCTTGATGCTGCCTTCCAGCCAATGGAAATCGCCCGGGACGCCCGACTTATACGCCTTTAAGTTCTTGTCGCTTGGGTCTCTCAGCACTATCCGTGATGACGCTCCAGTCACTGTTGCACGTCCGCTCTCGATTGCCTGCTCATGCAATAGTAGATGTAAGGAACAAGCATGATGGAGGACACATCATCACAAAAACGGTCAGCGTCAACCATTAGAATATGTGTAAATCAGACGACATAAAAAAGGTAATTGTCAATGACAAGAAATGCAAATACACCAAGATGGATGATGACGACGACGACGATGACGATGGCAACAACGACAACCAAAACAACGACGTCGACGACGACGACAATAACGACAACGACGAGGCCAACAACAACTACGACGACACTGACCACAACAACAGCAACAGCCAGGATACGACGATCATGCACGACAATGAGTGCGACGACGACGGCGACGTCGATGACGACAACAACAATGACGATGCCGCCGCTGACGACAACGACAACGACGACCATAACGACAACGACAACAGCTGCTAGGACGACGACGACGACGACGACGACGACGACGACGACGACGACGACGACGACGACAACGATAGCGATGGCAACGATGACGCCAACGACAACAACAACGACTACTACAATGACGACAACGACGACGCCAATGACGACGACGATGATGACAACGACGAAGACTATGACGACAACGAAGACAAATACATTGACGACGACGACATCGTGATGAACAACGGCATAAACGACGACGACAACGTTACGACCAACAGAAGTACAACTATACGTACAATGACGATGAATACATCAAGGATAACAGCATCAACACCATTGCATACCTGTTGTAGGGCAACACTTCATGCTTGACTATCACTCTCCTCCTCAGCGGACGTGGTCATCTTCTCGACCAGCTCAGAATTGAGGCAACACCGAGTGATCGATGCCTCGGCGTTCCTCTTGTTTGACGCTCGGTACGGGCGCTTCATCACAGCAACGTGCACATGCTCGTAGACATCAGTGCAGTAGTGAATCAGAATGCCACGACGCTTGATGTCATCGGTGACATGCAGCATCCTGTGAATCTTGGGGACGTTGAACTTCGACTTCTGGTCCCCCTTGAATTCGCTCATGAGCATCAGCACCAACCTGCACGTATACGGGCACAAACAAAGAGTAGTTGGTACGTGAGTTGAGAGACCATGACTTAATGACACTATATATTAGGAAGCAAACAGTTGCATTTGCTGACGACAAGCAATCACAATTATGATTACTCACGTGCGCGTGATCTCGTCCAGGTTCTTCAACGAAGCGTCATCGTGGTATGTCCGATGCCACACCTCGGAGTGCCATGGCAAAACAACTCCACTGCACGGATTGTCTTGGCATCGACATTGGCCATGAGCAGGAGCACTGGCAACACTTGCATGCTCGCTTGATGATAAAAAGCCTTGAAACTGGCATGCCCGCTGAAATAACCATCTGTGTGCGCCGGAAGTCGGAAGAACGACTGTCTGCTGTACTGGGTGATGGTGCGCAGCGAAGCATCGAGCTTGTGCAGTGCCTCTGTACTGAGCTTCGACTTGAGACCTTCCAAGGTGTGCTTGTACACACCTAGGAGCGACATGTGCATGAAGTCGGATGTTATTTGCCGATAAGGATTAGCAAAATCCTTATCGGCAAATCGCTGACCCCACAGGGCGCTCTGTTAGGTTGCGACCAAAACTTCCGTACCAACATCACAACAGAAGGACAGAAACAACAATGCTCGCAAGCTGTATGATGCTTACATGGATGCAGTGGGTGCTGTGGTCTCGCTCGATATCATCTCGTGCGTCCTTCGTGTGCGCGCGTTCCATCTCACCAACGAGCTCCTTTTGACGTTCCTTGTTCCGAAACACCAATGGGTAGTCCATGTTGTTGAGGTCCTCCTTTGGTACTAGGCATCTAGGACAAGGGTACTTTGTCTTGATCCCCGACTTGGTTCCGACAACTTTGCACTGCTCTGGGTAATCACCGACATACGAGTATGTCATCGGATAGACCTTACGACGAATGCCGTATGGGTCTGTGAGAAACATGCTGCTGCACACAACGAACAAGGACCTCAATGTTAGTCAAATGTCACAAATCCGTGTACGCAGAGAGGACAGCATGGATATACATTATCACAAGAGATAGTAAATTTACACGAGCAGCACACTTACTTGTGTTGTCCAACCTTCAACTCCTCCATGATGAGATTAAGGGCCTCTTGGAACACTTCCAGCCGTCGACGTGGTTGATCCGCCTTCGAGAAGAAGCTGTCGTCTTCTTCAGGTAGCAAAGCGACGAGTCGATGGCCGTGTGTCCTCCAACGATTCCCCGCAGCGATGTTGGCGAGTGAAATGTACACATGCCATCCCTTGAGGCCTCCATTGATGGTGAGTGTCGTCTCGTCTGAGTAGATAATCACAGCAGCTACAGATGCTCCTTGAGGCAACTCTTTAAGAACTTCACGCCACCAGCTCCCCATCTCGGGAAATTTGTAAATCCGCGCTGCATTAGGAATATCCTTGGGTGGTTTCACGACGAAATCGGCAGCCTTTGCCACGTTCTCGTAAAGGCTTCTCACGCATGACAGCACAGAACGACGCCACACGATCACTGGCTGCAAATCCCCCTCCTTCGCGAGATTAACCTGTTCGAAGGGATGCAAATCAGCATCGGCTAGTTGTAACTTCTCGTAGCTGTCAAACGCGGCGAGTGACGTGATCCTTAGACGCCCCGGATTACTCAACACCTTTATGAGGATTGATATCAACTCCTTGATATCCACCCTCGAGAGTCCGGAACCTCCAGTAGTTATCCTTACGAAACGATACACACGAGAGTCAACGTCGACGAGGGACGCATCTCCCCCTGGGTAGAAATGATACCCTGTTTGATCCTCGTTCATCTCGGCAGCGTCAGCATTCTCGGCCCTGCGACTGCACTCTGCCACCCTATCCGTGCGTAGGCGTTTGTTCGAATTCGTGCGAATGCGATCTGCAGCAGCTTGGAGCGCCTCCACAGCACCCTGGCTGCTTTCTCCACGCAACTCGGGTGTTGGATCTGCTGGTTTGTACTTGTGCTGCCCTCGACTCATATGCCATGCCTTAGCCAAAGGAGTAGCAAAACGCACAATGCAGTCCTTCACATCACACCCATAATGGAGTTCCTCCATTCTGCCAAGTGTGGACTTGCACAATCCTCCAATATGGTAAAATGCACACAGTATTAACAGACACAAAGCTTATCACGAAGTCACAATCTCCACAGAACCTACAGCTACAACACCCTATGGGATAGTCTTCACTTCCAACACCATCTCGCACACCTGCAACAAAACCGCAAAGCACGGCACAATGTTAGAATTTTACATCTAAGGACCAGATCATGCTGACAATGTAAACAGATTTTCAGTCATGTTGATTGCAAACTGAAATTGCTCCAAAAACCAACAACAGGACTCACTAAAGTATATAACAAATGCACATAAATGATCTGCACATGCCATACATGTGCATATCGTGGGGTGGCAAACAGACGCGCTGTAACAGGAGAACACCTGGAGAAACAGACAGGCAACTTCATTATAGTGGAAACACACCGCGAAAAACATGAATCCAGACACATTGGAAAGCATGGACACCATTCCACGCATCACCCAAATGGGTAAACTGAAAATCGGCGACCAACTACAACATTTAGACTAAAAAATGGCACATAATCATTACTTCGAGAAACGTGCAAAAAACACCACGAGAAATATGCATATGCCTATACGAAATCTGAGACATAACACGGTTACCTTGGTCCGATAGGCGCAGAACAGTCAACGGTGGCGGTACGTGTTGACTTCTTGGGTGCAGTACGCGCAGGAAAAGGTAGGAGGTGTGGTGAAAAAAAAAAAAAAAACGTATTCAGTCGCAAATGTGAGAAATGACTGCTCGAGCACAACAACCCCTCACGATGGAGGTGTGGTGTGGGAAATGTTAGGGCGCGTTACATTTTCGATTTCTTTTTTTTTTTTTCCAAACGAACCGGACCGTTAGAACGGTTCAAAGTGGTTCATTTTTAGAACGCTTTGTTCATGTGGCTTTCAATACGCTTCAGAGTGGTAACTGTCCGATCCACCCAAAAAAATCGAAATTGTAACACGCCCTTAGAAGGGGAAAGGCGTCATTTCGTGACTATTCACCAAGCACCATCGTTAACAAAACAAAGCTGACCACACAAAAACGAGCAGCATTGCACCCCACCGTAACCACTATGTTATCTCTTGAAACGGTAAAGCTGCAAATCAAATAGGTTCCTATGGGTTGGGGGTCGATTTCCAACTTTGCCTTCATGTTACTGGTGGGGCCATTTCACGAGGAACTTTTGTGCTCCGCGTCACGTCATGCCAGCCACCCTGGACCCACCTGGACGAATGGAAGCACGCCAACGTTCAGGTGCGTTGTCGTGTTTCAGGGTTGTCACCCAACCATGCGCAACTTTGGCACCTCGCATCATGCCAACCACCCTGGGTGTGTCGGGGACGAGCCAGCGACGCACAGCGTCCTGTGCCAAGGACGTCCAGTGTCGAGGCACAGTGAGAACCAAGGCCAGCGTCCTGTTCGCTTGTTTAGATGCGGTGCAATTGGATGCGTCACTATTTACTATGGTAGCGTAGTTTCCAGTATGGCCGAGATAGGTTTAGAGCAAAAACGTTATGAGAATGCAGCAGTGTGTTATTCCGCGTGTTTCAATGAACGCGACAGGCTGTAACACCTGAGAAAAGACAATTTCCTACCTCTCTTCGTGTTACCACCGTAGTTACAAATACAGTTAAATTACCACTTTGTACAAGGAAATTATGTACAAGATTGTGCGTATCTTCATCCACAAAAACCATATTTGAACTTGGAAATCAAGTCAACAACTGCTTCGCATACAAAAGTGTAATATAACCATACGAATCATGAGCTTTGGACTTGGATTTTATTTTATACTTATTAACGGGTGACGGAAATGTACCTTCGTTTTTTTTTTTTTTTCAATAAAGTATATTTTCAGTCTATATTATATTTTGCACATGAGCCTCAGTTTGCCAACAACGCGTTACACAAAAAAAGGCGCATTTCACACAGTGCAGCACATTTGAAGGGTTCCGTGATGCTTGGATGCGCTCCATTCTGATTGGTGTCAATGTCTCGTAGTTTTTCTAAGCCTCTGCCGAAGCAACGAGCACCGCAGCCGAGGCAAGAAATGACCCCCGCGAGCCTCCAGATTAAGGTATGTGTGGGTTGCTACACGTGAGAAATCAGCCCATCGTGGTAGGTGTAGATGCCCAATCGCCAATCGGAGTCGTTTTGTGAGAGTACGACGTCATTGCTACGCTTTAGTAGCTTGATTCTGCTTTACTATGCATTATCTAGCTTAGCTTTGCTTGCTTTTGCTAGATTTCCTAGGTTCGTTGCTTTTACTATATTATTATAGTTTTAGGCACCGAACTAGGTTGAGTGCACCGAATTCTAGGCTTTTCGGTTGCCACCGAATTGCCTTCTACCGAATTCGGGAAGGACCCGTTCGGGACGCTTCGCGATCCGCGGAACCTTCTAGTAACACCCAGGTTACTGCCTTTGTGTCGAGCCTATATATAGCCTCGCCTTGTACCCAGGTGAATCATTCAATAGAATCATCTTTCCTGAACCAGATCCTCACACGTTTGCTGTTGGTTTGCATTTGGTTTACCACTAGAAATGAGTTGCGACTAATTTTTGAATGAGAAGCGTGAACCCCCAGATTTGCGATGCAGACGGGCAGCATTTCGAGCGAAATGCGTGCCCGTCACCGCCTGACGGGCAGCAGGCGTGTGAAATGCGGAATGCGCCTGTCTGACTCGCAGCATTCGTGCGCAGGGTGGAATCCAGCTGTATGACTGGCAGCGACCGCGTGAAATGCTCAGCACATCCCACAAAATTTTGGCCCGAAAAGCCCCCCCCAGGTTACCCACAGCTTACCCCCTGGGGGGATACCCCGGGGTCCTTGTCTAGGCACCTCGGCAAAAACCACTTCGCGTGGTGACCCCGAGGTCACCCACAGGTGGTGACCCACAGGAAACCGCTCCCAACCTGTGGGAGCGAATCACACGCGAGCCGGCTTCTCGCTATGGAATACATCGCCAACACTAAAATTGTGCCTACAGTACACGAAAGACCCTACAGTTTGACCAAAATGTTACACGTATAAAAAATACCTGATTTGGGCACAATAAAAACTGATAGTATTCAAATTATTCGTTTCACACCTATATTCATTTAGCGATTGAATAATAGCTTGGGTTTAGCATATTTATGGGTTTTACCTCTTACAGATTGAACTATTAGCATTCCACTATGCAATCATGTACATATTGAAAGTGTGACACTGCATGAACTTTTAACAATTGCACAGATATAACCTTCAGCTAGGACATTATACATCCACCCTACATACATCACGTTTCATCAGCAATGATTTCCCCTGGAGAATAATCAATCAATACCCCATGTGTAATAGTATGCTCCTGCAACACACCCACCAACAAACACAGAGGAAACCAGAAAAACAGCAACACATGGCATGTCTCAGCGACATGGCGTCAAGCGTTTTACCTCACGAATGCGGCAGAGAGTGCAGAGAGAGTGCAGTCCCAGAGTTCGAAATCAAAGCACTCGTTTTTTAACTGTTCGCGAATGCGTGACAGGATCGCCACCGTTGTCTGTAAAAACGATGTCGACATACAGACGAAGCCACGGAACAAGCGCTAAGAGAACGCGGACTACGGTTAAGCGGGAATGTCAGGGTTAAAAAATTTTCGCGCACGACTAACGTACCTCGCATTGAATCTTTACGCACGACATGGCCGGATTGATGGACTCCTGTGCGCTGTAGCTCACAGGACTGATCATCTCGCCACACTGCAGATTTCGCGACTGAATGAGAATCATATGGGATGATAAAAACACATTAAGCGCTGGAAAAACGACCTCAGGGTACGCGCGCTACAACTGTGAAGAACCTGAAAAAAAAAAAAAAAAAAAAAAAAAACAACAACAACAAATAACATGTGCGATCGTGGTATCTTGTCGTTCAACGCGAAACATAACCACCATTAATGCGGAGATAACTACTACAACGGGAGCTAGACTACGGGCTAGGCACGAGTGCTCGTGTGATCTCTGCGTTCGTTGGTCCTTAGTCGTTTTCCTAGTGCACACACAGCTTGCTAGTTCACAGGGAGAATTGGCAAGAGTTTCACTAGAGAAAGTTGACAATAATGGTACAATGAAGTTGGCAAGGCAGGACTACATCAGAGCTAGCATGCAAGCAAGTCTACTGCCAGCGCAGCACGGTCGACCGCGTGCCAGCACGACCTGGTCGACCGCGCTCCAGTAGTGCAGAGGCACGGCTTGCCAACACTGCAGGTCGACGGCGTGCCAACGTCGCAGGTTGACGGCGCGCCAACGTTGCTCCCGCAGGACAGCAGCGCACCTACTTCGCAGGTGCTCGCAGATGATTGGCGTGCTGTGCTTCGTCACCTGCACAGCGCACACACCACGTCAACTTTGTGCTGACGACTGCTTCTGATCCGCCACGTCGACCTCGGGATACCACCACCGAGGTCGTCCTCGCCAACGTCGCCTGGGCGACCGTCGCGTGCCTCCGCAGAACCTCGTCACCCAGGTAACCTGGTCGACCGGGCAACCACGTCGACCAGCTGCTCCTGTATGTGCCCGTCGACCTCCCAAGTCGGCGGCCACCTCTGGTCGACCTCACCAGGTCGACCACTACTCCGGGTCGACCAGCGCCAGGTCGACGTCGCTTCTAGTCGACCAGCTCCTCGTCGACCAACATGGTTGTCAGCCGACCCCAAAGTCGGCTACCCGAAGTCGGCGTCACCAAGTTGACGCCCTGCTACTCGACGCCCAGCTGCTCGGCGTCATAAGTCCCTCTGTCGAGGTCGACGTCGGCCCCTCCTTCGTCGACCACCATGTTCGGTCGACCACCAGGTCGACATCACGCCTGGTCGACCAGCCAGGTCGACCAGCAGTTCTATTGGCCGACCACCCAAGTCGGCTG